GCTCATCAGAATGGCAAAATCTAGACAATAAACGCCAACGAAAGTCCTAAATTTTATGAAAAATCGTTCTTCCACCCGTGACACATAAGCGAAACTGCCTGAAGATGTTCTACAACCGCATCCGGTCACCCTTCAGCACATAGAGACTCTTCATCTTTCCGGGAACCCCAAGTGGAATGGCTATTTCAAAGTAGTTATGATCTGATCCTATAATGTCCGTCCGAAGAACCCGCCTTATGTCAAGGAAATTTCGAAGGTAGAACAAAGGTTTGACAGCAAATCCAAAATGAAAACCAAAGATCGGTTCCACCGCCATTAATCAGAGCGTTTGTTTGATTTCTCTGCAGAATTTTAGTCCCCCGAGGGGAGTGAAAAGCAAACCTTGAGCCAGCCGAAGCTTAAAACTCCCAAAGGAGCACTTCTTTATTACTGTTTCCTTATCTCTGCGGAGTGACCTTTGCATGAACGCAAAGTCCAGAGGCCCAATTTGGTCGGTTCGACTTTCTACTGGTTTTTTTTCTTCAGTTAATAGACTCTGGCAGAATTGTTATATATCAAGAGGGCTTCACTAGCCTGTATCAACGAAGGCAACAGCTATTCTAGGAACTTTTATGAAAAATCTTTGTTGAGCACAGTGAAGACTTGTTTCGCGTCTTCTAGACTTTCCAAGAAGCTTAGGTAACATATAGCTACTAGTGACTTTACAGAAGGGTTGTACTTCTGGCAAGTATGCCTAAGGTTGAAAGCTATACAAACAATACTGAGACATTTATGGTTGAGGAAGAATTGTTTCTCGCTGCCACAATACCATGTAGCCCTGCTCAATCTCAGGAGATTCGGCTATTTGATTCTCAGCACCATCGCCTGAAGCTCAGTCACTGAAGTTCTTTGAAAAATCACTCTCTCTCACAGATACGATGGCAAAAGATAAAGTGCTTGTATCGTGCTTATTTCCCTGCCTCGGTCGTTATTCATTCTGAAATGCCTTCGACCTATTTACATAGTGTTACCTGCAAAACACCACTGCATACTAACTTCAAAATTAAGCTTTCAAAAAGCAATCTTTTAATCGCATCAGAATGCTAGGTCGTTTTTCGTGCTGTGAAAGGGCTCAAGACGGTGTTTTATCTGTCTGGTCTAAATCTCTTCTAATAGACGGAGTATTTCATTTGCTAGGTTGAAAAGCCGTCGAGCACCTTTGCTTCGACGATATTCTCTTAAAAACTGCCTCAAACAAGCCCCAGCCCACTGAGTAGTGTATGAAAATTGACGCTGTCTAGAGTCTTTGGGCACAAAGAAACTCGTACTCTCGACTAATAAACACCCCAGTTATCAGAAAACATCGGCATAAAATTACGTTTATTTACAGTTCTGTGCATGCACAGTGGGAGGCTCCCACATTCTGGAAGGCAAACTAAAATTTAGGTTAAGTCGTTATCGTCAGGCTTCCTTGAGTCTTCCCTTGGTTTCTTGACATGTAGGAGTTACATGCCTAGGTATACACGTGAGGAAGGGTAAACGTTTTCCTACTATGGGATGGGGAGGCTAAAATGCATTATTCCGTGGACTTAATATGCTTTCATCAAGGCGTCGTGGAGAATATCCTTGACTTCGTTTTGACTCCAGCCCATAAGCGCTGATTAGACCTCTTCGTCTGTAAAAGCCTCTGGTTTGTCGTCCGACATTTTCAAGGTGGGCTGCATTGCTTCCTCATCCTGTTTCGGCTGCAGATCAATCATGTGTTGATCGTTCTGCTCAGGGGTGAGACTTGACATCGCGGGACTGAGGGCCTCGCAAGATTCATCTAACAGGCCTTCACAACTGGCCTCCAGCGGCTCCATGCTTTCTGCAGAAGGACTAGTTTTAGCTAGATTTTCGGATGTTGACAGAGATAATGGGATCGTGGTACCTTCCGGATGGATCTGGAGATTGTCGAGAAAGTCCAGGCACTCGGATGAGGATAAGAGAACTGTTATATTCGCTCGCGGGTCCGCATTTGGGTGTGTGACCTCAATGTGACGAACCAAGTGGTCCTTCCTGTAGTACTCCTTCTTACATATGTTGCAAGAGAATGGTCTGAATCCTACGTGTTTGAGGGAATGTCGCTGCAGGTTAGAACGTTGGGTGAATTTGGCTTTGCAAACATTGCAGCGGAAGGAATTATGCAATTCCAGGGTATGTCTGTTCAGTTCAGCCAAGGAGGGAAAGTGTTCACGACACTGATTGCACATAAAGCGTCGCGGGTGCACGAAACGACGATTGAGTGCATTCGGGCTGCCCCCGCTGCCAGTACTTCCACCAGAGGAGACTGATTTGACACCGAGGACATCCATACTGACGTCAGTATTATCTATGCTGTTGGCAATGGCGGTATCGGGGCTCAGAAATGAACCCGTGCCACCTCCGGTTACGTCGACTGGGTTGAGACGGGAGGCCAGAAAGTTTGAACTGGACGACGCGCTGATAGTGGTGGCACACTCGGAGACTAAGCATTGGGACGACAAGCCGTCTGCTGCCAGAGGACCAGCTGTTCCGGAGGATGCCACGGTTGGCCGGGCGTTGTTGGGTGGGGTGGTAGGCAGACTGATTGTGAACTCATGGCCCACGGTGGTTAACGAGGGAACAGTGGTGATTATGGTGGACTGAGGCATACTAACATGAGGCGGTTGAGTCAGTATAAAAGGGCTCTCTGATGTTCCCACACGGTTTGTCGTACTGAGTAGCGTTTGTAGCATGAATAGGGCATCTGGATTGACTGATGGCGGAGGAAGTGGTGGGGCAGGTGTTAAAGTGCTATGGGTCGTAGGAGGTTGTGTGTTTGGCTGTGCAACCAGGCCAGTGGTTGGGTTTTGATTACCATTATTATTACTAATACCGGAACTGCCATTATTGCAATTGCCACCGTTCATTCTACTGGAGATCTGATTTTGAACACGCTCCTGTAGAAAAGGAAGCAGGCCGAGCAGAGAGGGATCCACTGCCAGCCGGGTGGGCTTGTTCATCTGAGCACCCAACAGGCCACTGGCGAAGTTTAAAAAATCAGTCTGATTCAGCAGATCCGCAGCTGGGATTTGAGCCGCCAGACGTGGAGTCGTACTGGAATTTTTCGAGGGAGAAGCAGGGCTTTGTCGTTGTGACAAGTCCAGCACATTGATAGGCAGCTGTTTGACAGTAGATGGTGATCGGATCGGACTTCGTTCTCGTTCGCAGGAATTGGGGGTGGGAGATTTTGGGGTAGAATTCTTACGCTTAAGAGTCTCATCGATCACAATCACGTCTGATGCACCGTCATCCACAGCATAAGTTACAAGTAGACGCACAGTGAGAGAGGATTTGTGTGGAATCAGGGCCTGAAGGGCTGTCAGTAATTTCTCACGAAGTTCGACCGACTGCTCGCTCTTCTCAGGTCCACCAACTGGATTAGCACCCAGAGGCACCTTTGTGGGACCTCCTGAGAGAGGCTGGGCCATTTCTGGCTCCTTGGTGTGTTCCTGCGCCTTTGCGGATCCATTCCCAAAACGCTCACTGGTTGCGGTCTGTGTGCTGGCAAAGTGAATTAAGGGATTGGCATTGATGCTGGTGATGGCTGTGAAGGGTTTTGCCTCCCCCAGACCATTGATACAACTGGAGGGTTTCGACTGCTTTAGCGGGTGGGTTATCGCCATACCGTCAAATGGAGCGCTGCCGATGAGCATTTATCCAATCTCTTTTGGATTTCTTGCCTAAAAAATAGAAGGGTCATATTTTTCATAAGTGAAGGAGCGCTATGCATATGCGTTTCGCTAAAGTAGATGTCATACAGCCCATGGTGAAGGCATATTATTTGAAAGTCTCACCTCCTCACTTTTAAACAGGGGTCTCATTTAAATACACGCACTGATTTTCGAAGACCGGCAGTAAGTTATAGCAATTAAAGACTACACATCCGGAAGGGCCGTTCACTAACAAACATTCACTATAGGAAGGAATACAACGTCCTTGCCCTAGCTGGTAGTCGAGAGGCCTCACAAGTTGTTGCAAAAATACAGGATGTCAGTAATAAAGGTCGCTCATTTGTTAAGAAATTTCAGTAAAATAAACAAGTAAATCACCTACACCCAAGAACGAAGGCCTGTGCGGAGAATCTTCAAGCAAAGAACTTTGAGATGACAGACCGCAATCTAAGGGTTACCGTTCAAACGAATTCTGAAGAACATATTGCAGTCCATTGTTTTGTTAGTCGGAATTAATTCGTGAAAAACGACTTTCATTAAGTCTTCTCCTCGATATGCTTCCCTCTTCGCTTCTCACCATGACCAGGGTGCAAATTACAAAAAATCGTCCCGGCAAACTATGTCAGTAGAATGAACATCCGTCTCTCTGAGGTAACTTTTGTAGTTCTCTGAGTAGACGCATATTGTCCAAAAGATTCCACCTGCAAGCTTTTGTGCTTTTTGCGGATATGTTCGGGCAGCTACCCGAAACCAACCCTCAGGCTATTTCTCATCTCTTAATTGGGTTCGATTTTATGGGAAAGGGTTTTAGCTGGAGCGCGAAACGCACAGCGGAATCCTTCCTTTCCGAGTAAAAGGACGTAAACACCGTTTTTTCATCCCTAATTTGCCAAAACTCAAAAGCCTTCCTTTGCGAGGTATAGCAGTTCCCTCAAGACATGGAGAAGCCAATCCTAAACCCATGTGCCTACATAAAATCAGCCTTATTCACGCATTCTACAAAAGTCGATTCAGTGCGCTGATTAAAGGTCTCTCTCCAACGATTCTAGCTTACATTGAACACAAAGTATTCGTGCGTAAATGAGCACCCTTGCTTGTTTTTAACCAGTCGCATACCCCGTCTCGTCCCGTAATTTTACAAGACCCAACTTACCCTTGATTTTACGAGGCCGGGAGAGCAGCAGCGGGGCACTGCAGGACTCAAAACCCGAGACTTTGACGACTGACCCTTCTCGCTTACAACCGAATGGCAGAGTCCTTCAGATTCTCCGATGTTAGTGGGGGTTCCAACTACTGAGAGAGGAGGTAAACTATTTACCCGTGGGTATGCATACTTTAATTCATTTTCATCGACGACACTGCAGAAACTGGTGAAATACTTTGGCAGGCCATGGCTTGCTCTCTTCGATCACGTCTGTCTGTAAACGAGCTAAACAGATAAGGGACGGACTAAGAGACGTGTCCATATTAATCGCCCACAAAAGACGACATCAGGTCGAATGGTTAGCAGGAATAGACAGTCAGTGGGAGTAACCGATAGCAGAGGCAACCCCTAGGTCTATGGATGTTTCAGTAATTTTCATATTTGCGTCCTTCTTTCGAGGCTATATGTTTATAACATAGACAAACCTCCCTTTTCTTTGTTGCTAATGTTATTCTGCCTATACTACCAGCCGCTGTGTGGCTGCTGGTGGCACTCGACACTGAGCCCCAAGAAACAGAGTGGGACGAGTGAGTTTCGGTGCGCACCCCTCTACGATTGCATATGTATACATATAGGACAATATTCTTGAAGCGGAGAGCCCCCCTACCATTGCATATTCCCGATCTCAACCGACAGGGCAACGGGCTCGTGGCCCATTGGTTAAAAGCGTGGACTTCTAACTAACAGATCGCGGGATCGAGCCCAGATGTTCCATATTTTGGGATTGGATACGTCTGGCTCACGACGGCCGATAAGCCAGAAATGGCCATTCCAGTCTCCCTTGCCTTTGTCGATAATAACATTCTGCCTATATCATGCACCGCTGTGGGGCTGCTGGTTGGGATCGTGAGAGAGCCGTAAGGCACAACGGGACGAGTGGGTTCCGTAAAAACGACCGGTGAACGCCCCTTTAGCACATTTGTACATGCATGCCGAATGACATCGCCGTCAGAGATAAGGAAGACTGAAATAGTCATTTCTGGCTTGTTAGCCTCATCAAACAGCCATGCCCGGCTCCGAGATACGCAACTCCTGAGGCTTGAACTCTTGACCTAATGTTTAGAAGTCCAGCCCCTAATAACTAAGCCACAACGGACGAGTGAGTCCCGTAACGCAATCGATGCGCGCCCGTCTATCATTACGTATATATGCATATATATATATATATATATCAAGTGAATAATTTCGGAAATTACTCAATAAGGGACATGGAGTTGGATCTCGGAACGTGATTTTTTAAAAAGCAGAACCGAAATTTCAATGAACATTTGAGTCGAAGACAATCGACTACTGTGAAATAACCGCTTAATACCCATTCTACAAACGAGTAGCACTACAAGTAGTATGAAGTTTATGTATCAAGGATGCTGTACCGTACTCCAGACATAGATACTAACTAAAAGCCCAGACACTTGTTTTGTCGATAATCTGCCGCTGTGTTACACAGCTGCGAGGGGTTCAACTCTTCAGTGAGGCCCCCAGGGTTCTCTATGCGGTTCCTGTTATATGAACTCCTATGTTGGGAGTACGGCATAGTATCATTGATACATACACTTCATACTACTTCTAGTACCACTCGTTTGTAAAATGGGCATTAAGCGGTTATTTCGCAGTAGTCGATTGTCTTCGACTCCAATGTTAATTGAAATTTCGGCTCTGACCCTAAAAACGTCACGTCCCGGAGACTCCATTAACTGCACTGAGTAATTTCAGAAACTATTCACTTGGTTATTCTCTGGAGTTCATATACCAGAAATCGCATAGAGAACGCTGGGGGTCCCAGTGAAGAGCCGAACCCCTCGCAGCTGTGTCACGCATCGGCAGAATATCGGCGAAACACGTGTCCGGGCTTTTAGTTAGTACCTATGTCGGGAGTACAGTACGGTCGCGAGTTCGAGCCTCGGGTGTCCCATACTTCGAGGTTGGGTATGACTAGCTGACGACGGCTAACAAGCTAGAAATGGCCATTACAGTCTCCCTTGTCTTTGTCGGTAATGCCATTCTGCCTATATATATTTATATGTGTGTGCTTTGGGAAAGGAAGTTTATTGTGCACATTTTCGACGCCGGTTCCCCGAGTCGTCGTCAGGCACAGACGGAGGTATTATACCGTACTCCCGACGTAGATACTTGCTAAAAGCCCAGACACGTGTTTCGCCGATATTCTGCCGCTGTGTGACACAGCTGCGAGGGGTTCGGCTCTTCACTGGGACCCCCAGCGTTCTCTATGCGATTTCTGGAATATGAACTCCAGAGAATAACCAAGTGAATAGTTTCTGAAATTACTCAGTGCAGTTAATGGAGTCTCCGGGACGTGACGTTTTTAGGGTCAGAGCCGAAATTTCAATTAACATTGGAGTCGAAGACAATCGACTACTGCGAAATAACGAGCTGCCAGTGTATTATATGTGGTATGTGTCCTATGACACAGCGTTCGTTGTCGCCAGTAGCAAGCTGGCGGGCGTACAGAATGGGATCGAGCGAGATCCTTACCACAACAGTGAGAGTCAAACGCCCACTTGACATGCATATATATATGAAGATAGAAGGCTCGTCGGAAAAAATCGAGTTGTACTCGCGAATTTTCGAGCAGGTGACACCAACCCGTCGTCAGACGAAATGAACAGAGGGGGAAGTGAAATGGTCAGACTAAATTGGTTGGCGTGGCACGGCAGACACTAACAGGCAAACAACTAATTATGAAATTGGAGGGTGGATACATAATTAGGCTAGGGTCTATGACGGGGAAGGAAGGGGGAACTGTTGCGACTCCCTGTGTTGGAGGGTAGGGGGAATGAAGATTCCATGTGACTACGGACAGTGGACTTAATGGTCGTCGATCCGGCATGCGGGCAGAGGTCAGTGAGCCAACGTAGGGGTGTTAGGGATTGCAGTTGCGATTCGCTGTGTCTGGGGTAGGGGGTGGCGAAATAGTGCGATTATACATGGCCCAGTATGGATTAGCGGCTGCTGTTAGGCCGTGGGCGCAAATCAATGAGCCGGCCACGCAGACCTTCGTAATAAGCGTCCAGATCGACATGGCGATTGATGCTTGTCATGTTACAGGGCCAGGCTTCGAGAAATTATCGGGACTGTTTGGTGTTTGCCATGGCAACAATTTCAGTTCCTTCCCAATTAAAGCGATGGTCGCATTCAAGGGCGCGTGCAAACACGAGTGACAAGGGGCCACGTCGGTGGATGGCTAGTTTATGATCGTTTATACGCGTCACGAGTATATCTCGATTTTCCGACGAGCCTCCTCCTTTTAATATATATGGATATGTGTGTATATACATATATATACCTCGGAGGAAAGAGGCAGAGGTTTGGAGTCGGTTGACACAGAAATACTTCGGACATATTCTACCTCATTCAGCCAAGCACTGGCACGCGTCCATTTCCAACGGAATGTATATATGTGCATTATGGCTCCTCTGCCATTACATCTATAATCATACAGGAATGTGAGCACACCGATCCATCTGCCTACCGAATCAAACAAGCAAACAGGCATCCCTTGAAATATGATTTGAAATAAGCAAATTAGTTCGGAACTAAGAACGCCCAATCTGTAATTCGTTAAGACTGGTTCCCCAGTTCGCATTCAGATATATGTTAAATGTGGAGCATATATGGTATATGGGTGAACAGAGAATGTATATTCTAATTCTATACGTTGACTTGCGTTTGCAAAAAGAACTCCTAACAGGAAGTTTACGTCATGGTTTTTCGGTCCCGGCAATATCTTTGCATAAAAAACTTGGCCTTACACACTCAAGTCTGGTAAGGTGGCCACGTAATGTTTACAATCATAAATTACATCAATGTGATGATGATGGGAGACCGCATTTAAACTTTAACTGCAAATGAATACCATATGAGTTATTTTTTCTAGCTTCTCTGTCATCACCAGCCAGTCATATCCCTATCACAAACAGTGCTAAGAGGCCATCTAAGCGTAGGCCTGGTTTTATTGGTAGAAGCTGACCAGTAAAAGCGATCAAAGCAGAGCTGACACTTTTAGGTATCCCGCCCTGATTAGTTAAAAACTTTAGTCAAAAGATCGCTCCCCGATATGATAATGGCAATAAGGGACCTAGGCTGGTTTCTGACGTGTTCCATTTTGCAATCAAGTCACATAAATCAACACCGGGTCAGTCGCGCGCAAATATCCGTCGAAACTTGGCTGCTACAGAGCAGCGTATGTAAAAGAAAAAGGTTTCCGCCTTACAACTGTCTTTTGGGTTACTTCTTGCTAATAGCACGCCAATCAGCATGCAGAATGCAGTCTCATTTTTGGCGGACGGTATGGGAAAGGATACGTGCATGTGATGCTGCTCGTAAGTACAACTTTTTGCTTGCCAACGCCATACTGTCATTTCTCATATGAACGGCCATCTTTACAATTTTATGGAACCTGAAACGAACCAGTTGTTAAAAGCGCTATATTTTCTTCGTTCGCTCTCGCAGACATCTGACTGTCCAACTACGAACGTTAATAGAAGTGAAACCCAAATACTTATGCATTTCTAGCGCACAAACAAACACGATTTGACAAAAATAGTTATCGTCGCCTACGCTTGGGGAATTGTCGCATAAGGACGCATACAATATCAAAATTGTAGACCCTCCCAGGGTTAGTTATTATTGCTGTACAATAAACAGCAATGAAAATACCTTGATACTTACCACGTGTTGTGTGCGTATGTTTTGTTACGACTAGATCCTACGTATAGGCAGAGGGTGCAAGTCGGTTGACGACAGAGTGCTGGTCGGCGAACGCAGAGGTTGGATTTATTCTCAGAGGTGTAGGCTGCGCACCACTGTGTCAGTGGAGGAGAACACGCATAGGCAACCAATGCGCGCAGCTCAGTGAATGCTGCCGCTGCCTTGGAGTCTGTGGAGGCAGGAGGGCTCGCATGCGCACTCACGACTAGTCGAGGTTCGCACAAGCATATACACACGCACAGCGACCCACGAGGTGGTGGTGGTGGTGGTAGGTGTGCGAACACACACACACACTCACCAAAGCTTCTGGGTCCACCTCTTTCTCTCGCTCACCCCACAATTTGGGTTAGCTTTGATCACCACAAGAACACTATTCACAGCGCGCCCGCGAACACACACGCGCTGCACTCGCACACAAACAATGGACCGGAGCGTGTGTGTGTGCTCGGGCTGACCGCAGCCTGAAGCCAGTTCAGACTGGTGTTGCAGTCGGATTTGTCCGGTCCTGCAAAACGGCAGCAGCAGCAGCCGCCCCCCCCCACTCCCTGCTTCCGGCACAGCACACGTTCTAGGAGCCTTCTGGTGTCCTGAAGACCAGGAGGTGATGGCGATGGGGGGAAGCACCCTTATCGACCCCTAGGAGATCAATCAGGGCGTCGATGTTGTGTGTGTGTGTGTGTGCATGTGGGTTGAGCGGCCTGATGAGGGCAGCAGAGAACTGTCCTCTCCTGTGCGTATCTTCTCTCCAATCCACCTACACGCGTGTATCCTACGCCAGGCCAGAGTTCGCGAGAACTACGCAAGTAAGAGAAGTAGAAGGGGTCCCGTGCGAAGGGGAATTGCGCATCGGCGACAAGTAATGTCACTGCACCTTTTCTCTCGTTCTCGAAAGCCGACATCCGTGAACGCGAATGTCTGCCTGCATTCCCAGCAGGAAACACCAAACTAGAGCGTAATTTAGTTCGAGGATAGAGGCGCCTAGTGAGGAGAACCCTAAAAACTGTGTCTCATTTGTTGTCGTCAAATAATTAGTTGGAGCACCCCCACCAAGGGGGAAAAATAGCCCATTCAAGATCGTCGGAAACCGCGTTTCCACTTTCTTCTCCCTTATAATTGACTCCAAGATACTGTCATTTGCCCATCCCCCCTGTCCCTCCCAACAGTAAACTCAACTTATTTATCACGATGAGCGACAGCTGATGTTAAGAGACAGAGGGGAACGATAAGGTTCTTACCCCTTTGGTCACACGCAGGCTGGACCGTCGCACAGTTTGTCACAGGCTTGCAAGGACTTGGGCTGCCTGCCCTGAGGGAGTGTTCGCCAACTGCGTGCACCAGAGGAGTTAACCTCGAGTTTGAACCGGTCGTAGGCCTTGTTGTGGGATTCTGAGTTAGGTCTGACGCCGGACATGCACATTGTCTCATCGAAGACTAAGTTTTTCTGACTTAGGGTACGAGGGCCAGGAAACCTTCGCTCACTTCAACATTTAACACCAAGTACTGTTCCTGACTGGGCAGCGCTGCTAACTCATCATTCGCCCACATTTTTGGACCATGGTTGCGCAGGGCGTGCGTTATTGCGGAAGCTCGCGGCACGAACAGTAATAGTTGGTAACTATGTTTGTTTTTAATTACTGGAACATTTTAGGACAGGGTTTGTCTCCTCTAACGCTTGATTCATTGGAAGCTAATCACAAAGCGGCAATTGTGAGTGATGCTACTTGACGACAGTTTGTAGTCATTATGACACACGGCTGTCGTAAGTTTCAACAACATTGTATAAAACTGTCTGTATGTCAGACTCCAGCTCTAAACGCCCTTGTGTACGGTGTCATTGCAGGTCTGCGATCGCTTATCTGTCAAAAGTCAAAGTCCGCGTATTTTGCAGTTTGCCTTCGCTGACATTCGTCCCAATATTTGTCAAAATGGACGTATGGGGTCTTAACCAGGTGGGTTAAATGACAAAATCCGTTTACCCGGCACCCTTTACTTTATGTATTGTCATCTGGAAATCAGACGCGCTTCTGCTTCAGTTGTGTGCAGTTAAACATCACAAAGCTTTGATTATTTTTACATCAGCAAACTGGGTCAATGTTTGTCTCTCTTTGATGAACAGTCGGCTTAGCAAATTTTTAAAATTACCTAATTTTAGACGCGTCGGGCAAAATAAAACAACGAATGATTCATTGCAATCGGCTAGAAATATTAAGGAAACTATCAGGACACCGAAAATTTAAAAAAATGTCTCGCATTATGGAAAATGCACCTCATTGAGCAATCAAATGAGAATGAAGAGCGCCAGGGCTGTCTGAAGACTTCCTGTTCATTGAAGACTTTAATAACATCCATATGGACATTTGCACATGAGATAACTTACGTTCTGGGTCGGATGTGGTTATCTAGCCCCACCTCAAGTAAACAAACTCCAGTCACATATAATACAAGACCGATGGTAACAGGGGTTTTGCATGTGGGACCGGGAAAAGCACAGGCGACCAGGCCAAGTAGTTGTATGTAAAGGCAAAACTATTGCGAATGCACGGTTGTATTTTGAATGGTTGAGAAGTAGTTGCATAACCCCTAAATCTACTTCTAATCCCTAGCTATAATCCCTAATCCTAAACCCTAACCCCTTAACCTAACCTACAACCCTAAACACTAATCATAACCCCTAACCCCTGATCATAACTCTAACACCTAACCCTTAACCCCAACCCCAACAGTATTGTGTCCATTAGCTGGGGCTACCAAACCACATCTTACCACGTCCTGGGCTTCATTTAAGTCAAAATGAGATTAAAACCGTAGTCCAGTGCATAGTCCGAAGTATGCGAAATGACAACCAATTGAACAACAGAATAGTTTGTCAATTCTGGTCTATGAGTTAGCACAGACGTCCGTTATCGGGTTCGAGAGAGAGCCCGTAAGGCACAACGGAACGAGTGAGTTCCGTAGGAATGATCGGTGAGCGCCCCTGTACCGTTGTATATACCGAAACGAAAATGACAGGACGACGGGCTCGTGGCCCAGTAGTTAGAGGCGTGGGCTTCTAACTAGCAGGTCGCGAGTCCGGTCATCGAGTGTTCCACACTTCGGGGTTGGGTACGACTGGCTGACGACGGCTAATAGGCCAGAAATGGCCATTCCAGTCTCCCGTTTCTTTGTCGGTAATGCCATTTCGCATATATATATATATATATATATATATATATATGTATATATAATGTTAGGGGGCGCTCACCGATCGTTCATACGGAACTCACTCGTTCCGTTGTGCCTTAAGGGTTCTCTCTCGAGCCCAACCAGCAGCCGCACAGCGGCGCATGATATATAGGCAGAATGATATTACCGACAAAGACAAGGGAGACTGGAATGGCCATTTCTGGCTTATTAGCCGTCGTCAGCCAGCCATACCCAATACCGCTTGGGATGCCTACCTTTCAATACTTACGCACAATATATATATATATATATAGGCAGAAGGCTATTACCGAGCCCCCCTACCACCATATGTATATATATATATATGTAAGTATTGAAAGGTAGGCATCCCAAGCGGTATAAGTTGAAAAGAGATGGGTTCTGTGGGACAGGAGGGTTTATTGCGTAAATTTTCGACGCCGGTTCCCCAGGTCGTCGTCAGACGCAAGCGGAAAGCAAATGTGAAAGCAAGAAACAGCTAACGTCAAGAGTGCAAAAAAAATCGATACTCGCATGGCGTGTGTGCCGGTAGGCGGCTGCCGTGTGTCAGCCTGAGCTGGTTGGCTCCCTTCTCTTCCATTTCTCCTTCAGGTTTCTGTACACGGCATCCAACTCGATATGCCGGTTGATGCATGATTCATCAGAGTGCATTGCCTCGAGGAATTCTCGACCTTTCTTGGAAGGGCAGACCGCGACAACGCGAGCTTTGTCCCAAGCGAACGTGTGCCCGGTGTCCAGAGTATGCATGGCTACCTGAGACAGATGGTCTCGTCTTTTTACTGCCAACTGTTGTTCATGGATGAGTGTTGAGGCGGATTTTCCAGTCTGGCCACAATAAGAGGCAGCACATGCATCACACGGTATCTTATAGACGACCTCTTTCTTGTCCAGCTGGTTAACCCTATCCTTAGAATGTACCAGTTGAGAGCGCAAAGTAGTCGTAGGTTTGTGCGCCACTCGAATTTGGTGCTTCCTTAAGTGTCTTTCGACGAGTTCAGACACATTCTTGATGTAAGGAAGAGTTCGCCAAGTGCTTAGTTCAGGCGTCTGACTGGAACTACCCGGCTCCTTCTCCCTTGATTCTCGCTGCCTCATGCATCTGCGTACAAAATCCTTAGGGTATCCATTTTGCGAAAATAATTCGTACAAGTAGTTCAGTTCGGCTCGATAGCCTTCTTCATCCGAGCACTGTCTTTTGGCTCGACTAAGCAGACTGTTTACGGCACTCCGTTTGTGAGAAATGGGCTGGTTGCTCTTATAAGGTAGAATGACTTCAGCGTAAGTTTCTTTCCGGTAAACGGATGTGCGTAACGTTCCGTCGGCCTTACGCTGCACGAGAACATCCAGAAATGGGAGTTTGCTGTCCACTTCCTTTTCAAGTGTGAATTGAATCCCAGAAATTGTTGAGTTGATAGTATTTTGGAGCATTTCTAGTTGGTTCTTTTTTAAGATAACAAATGTGTCATCCACATATCGCAGCCACAATTTTGGAGTGCATAACGGGAGTGCCGTCGCCTCTAATTTCTGCATTGTTATGTCAGCGATAAAACCAGAAATGGGTGACCCCATAGGGGCTCCCTTCAGTTGCTTGTAGCATTGCTGGTCGAATGAAAAGTTAGTTTCCAAGCGCAAGTCAATCAGTTCGAGCACAGCGGCGACGGGCACATCAGTGTCGTAGCACAGCAGGAGGTCCTCGGTGCATTGCTTTGCGACATCCAACGGTATTGACGTGAACAGGGAAACGACATCAAAAGAGACCATTATCTCATCGGCGGAAATTGTGATCCCTTGCAATTTTTTCAGGAATTCTGTCGAGTTGTATATTGAAGTTTCACAATTCTTCGTGAGCGGATGAAGCTTCTGGAATAACCATTTGGAAATTTTGTAGTTAGGCGCACTGATTAGTGATACAATCGGTCTAAGTGGGACATCGGTTTTGTGGACTTTAGGCAATCCATAGATCTTCGCGATGGTCGGCTCAGTTTGTTTGAGCGATTTAGCGATGTCTTCTGACAGTTGTTTCTTCC